TGAATGGATTAGAAGTCCATTTGTTGCATCCCAAACCTACAAAACAAAAACAATCTTTATGATCAATCGGCCTGTCTACCCTCCCCCCCCCCCCCCCAGGGAAAACTGTTACCATTTATCTACCCTCCACTCAACCTTACGGAAGCTATGTTACCATTTATCTACCCTTCCCCACCCCTAGGGAAAACTGTTACCATTTATCTACCCTCCTGCCTCTACATACCATTTATCTGCCCTTTCCCTCCCCTAGGGAAAGTATATAACCATTTATCCCCCCTCCCCTAGGGAAAGCTATGTAAACAATTATCTATTTTTCCCCCTCCCCTAGGGACACTAAATAACTATTTCTCTCCTCTTCCCTAGGTAAGGCAATGTAACCATTTGTCTACCCTCCCTCCTCCCCTAGAGAAAACTATCTAGCCATGCAACCCCCTCCCCTTAGGGAAAGCTATGTAAACATTTGTCTACCCTCCCCTCCCCCCCTTCCCTAAGGAAACCTAATGTTACAGTACCTTGGCAAACCCATCGACAGATACAGACACAATCTTTTTACAGTCATGTGACACATCACATGTCAACAAATAATCCTTGTTGCTATGACAACATGTAAATTCACAGGTGCCTGTCTGTGCTTCCCAGACTTTCATTGTGCCATCAAAAGATGCCGTCAGGATCTTGCGGTCTCGATTGAAAAATCTACACCGCCGTACTTTATCAGTGTGACTATCGAGAGAGAATACGTACACATAGGGTTGGAGGGTGTAGACCTAGATGGAAAGGATTAACAAGAAAGATAAGTATTCAATATATATTCAGTATTCAACCTTTTTTTGAAATAGCTGTATATGGTTTTTGCATTCTTGTAATTTAATGCTATTTTTTGTATTGATGACTAAGAACCTTGGCTGTGGAGTCATCAGATGCTGTTACAAGTTGAAGTCCATCTTGGCTGAAGCTACACCATCTGACAGCCTTGCTGTGGTTATTGAAAGTGTGCAAGACTTGGCAGGATCGGTTGAACAACTAGAGAGAAAAAAACGTGATCATAATACAATCGTATATACAATGGATATATATGTTTTGTGGACGCGGGGTTTTCGTGTTTCCGTGTATATATGTATATAGTATACTTAATTTTCTCTTTTCTTATATTTATGCTTTAAGGTTCTCAATCGCAGATTTTAGTATAGATTTTATTTAGATTTTTATAGATTTTATATTGCTGATCACCGGTTCATACCAGCTGTTCTATTGTGTCCAGCTGATCGGTTTTTTTAAAATCAGGGTAAATAAAGATATTACTATTATTATTATTATTATTATTATTATTATCATAATCATCATCATAATTACTTTTACTAATTAGCACTAAATTGCTGGCTTAATTTTTAGTTTTCATCGATACTAATAACAGTCATCATCAAAAACTTCATCATTATCACCACCACCATCATCTTCCATGTTCTGGGTTGTCTTGCACAGGCAACCCAGTAAAACGTTTTTAGTTTGAGCCTCAGCCAGTGACTGGAACTTGAATCACAAAAAAAAAATTTTGAATTTTCACCTTTTGAATGGCCATGGATAATCTTAATGTATAGCAAAAACATGCCCAACTTCTAAAACTTGTTTTCCCCTTCTAAATGCCCGAATTTTAAGTGTTTTTTAAGTTTGGAAAATCCGGAACCGTACATAGCTGGAATGGACTGGACTTCGGTTGGCTGGATCGTACGGAACCTAGACAGTTTTTTAACGCTGAATTTGCAGCTTTTATCCTTCGATTTTCATTTTATTATAAATAACTAGTGATTCTATTCCGAAATTTTGCAAAAATAGATGCAATTCTTTTTTAAATGTTTTGTAGGGACACTGGTTGAAGTCTTGTGAAGCTGGTCAGCTGGTGTCTTGAAAGATTCCAAAATTGTTTGGGATATATTCTCCGTGTCTCTCATCTTCAGAATCGTTCTCAATTAATTAATATCCCGCTTGCTAAAGACTTGACATCGACATGATCCGAGCGTCATTTCCCTGAGGATGGCCGAGTAGGCCGAAAGCTCAGATCATATTTATTAAATTTATGGTTGATAAAACAAACTATTATGAATGTAACAACAACCAACAAGGAACTATTTGACTTAGTATTTGTTTGTTCTTTTGAGTAAGTTTGAGTCCCATTTGAGTTACATTTCAGTTGATTTGAGTTCATTTCACGTGGCAATCGAATCTGTGGTCATGTGATGTCAATTCCGCCTCATTTTCATAATTGCCTCGTTTTCATGGCAGATTCTCGACTACAACGACAGATAGATCTACACCTAGACTCGGCCTGCCACAGGTAGCCCAAGTAATTAGAAAATTACATTTAAATGATGAATATCGTTAGTACCTTGACGCTGCCGTCTTCACTTCCCACAGCAATGACATTCCCATCGGGAGAGAACGTGATGCTGGTTATTCTGTGTGGAAATGCTTCACTCTCTTCCTTCAAACTGCCCTCCTCACCAACATACAACTGGTAAGCAGAAACAAATACATTAAGGGACTGTTTATTCTCTTACTGGATAGGGGATGGGGACAAGTAAGATTTGCGGGGAGTGGGGTGGGGAGGGAGGTCATTAAGGGGCACTTGGATGAAAATGTATAAAAATTGGAAATGACTTGAAACTTGTTTAAATTTATCTATATGGCCCAGATAGTAGCCAAGCAACATATTTTCTTCGCTGTAAAAAGTGGCGGATATAAATTATCAATTTCATTCAGCATATAAATAATTGTAARTAAATGACCTCATTTACTCAATCCTATTGTTCTTTTCGCTCTTAACCCAAAATATCTCAACAGCAAGTGGCTCCCAGGCTAAAATTTTCACTAATCTGATTTTCATAATCGTAATTGAGTCATATTATCCTCAAATACTTCAATTACTCAGACTTTGAAAAATTGGGGCGTTTTTATCCAAGTGCCCCTTCTTAAAAGAACAACAGGAACAACAGGCTAAAAAGTGAGGATCTTACAAAAACATTTGAGCCACAAAACCTTTTTACGATAAACAGGAAACAAAGTAAATAAAATAAAATAAATAAATGGGATTTAACAGTGGCATTTCTACAGTAGCTATTCATCCACTGTAATTCCAATTGGAATTTAGGAGTTGATTTTTGCGGAGGGAGGAAAGCCGGAGAACCCGCAAAACCCTCGAAGCACAGGAGCAAGACAACAAACAACTCTACTCACATACGAAACCGAGCTCAGCGGGACTCGAATCTGGGTCGCATTGGTGAGAGGTGAGCGCTCTCACCGCTACGCCACCCGTGCTTCTCGTAGTTGTCTTTCATATCCAACAATGGAGAGAGAGGGAGTAGATGATTTCTGGTATGGGTTAGCAAATAAATTCCACCCCTCCTCCCCCTCCCTACACAACAAAAAAGCAATCGTCTCTAATCCATACATGGTTTTTTAGAACTGGAAACATAGTCCTTTTCCAGGAAGTGTTACACTCTTACAGGAAACAAAAATGGTCCCTATTTTACATCCCACCCTTCACCAACCATGTTTATCATTGCTATGGATTACTATTTGACTCACTAGAAGCCTGTTCAACAAATCTGTGACAGCAACAATCACAGAACCATCGTCAAAATAAGCATCAATTACTCTTCTTAGTGATATGACATCATGGACGGCACTTGAATCTATGGTCCAAATCTGGAAAATTATTAATTAATACATTAGTAATAATATTAATGATGGTGATGATAATGATGATTATGATGGTAATGGTAATGATGGTGGTGATGGTGATGAGGATGATGGTGATGATGATGATGGTCATGAGGATGATGTTGATGATGATTATGATGATGATGACAAGGATGACATGATAATGATGACATATGATGGTGATGATGATGATGGTCATGAGGATGATGATGTTGATGATGATTATGATGATGATGACAAGGATGACATGATAATGATGACTGATGATGGTGGTGATGATGGTGGTGATAATGATGATGGTGGTGATGATGATGATGATGGTGGTGATGGTGATGATGTTGGTGATGATGGTGGTGATAGTGGTGATAATGATGATGGTGATGATGGTGGTGATAATGATGATGATGATGGTGGTGATAATGATGATGGTGATGATGGTGGTGATAATGATGATGGTGATGATGATGATGATGATGGTGATGATGATGATGGTGATGATGATGGTGATGATGATAATGATGGTGATGATGATGATGGTGATGATGATGGTGATGATGATGATGGTGATAATGATGATGGTGATGATGGTGGTGATAATGATGATGGTGATGATGGTGGTGATAATGATGATGGTGATGATGGTGGTGATGGTGGTGATGATGATAATGATGATGGTGATGAAGGTGATGGTGATGATGATAGTGATAATGATTATGATAATGATGTCATTTATCTCACAAAGTTTTGAAAAATAACTCACTTTGATTGTCTCATCATCAGAACCAGTGACCAGCTTGGTTGCATCCGATGAAAAACCAACAGAATGTACCCACCCAGTGTGTCCCCGATAAACACCAAGACTGCCGTACGAAATAGTATTCCACAGCTGCAACAACAATGACGAAAACATAAAACAACTTACAATGGACAATTACTCACATATCAACTCAGATCTCGGGGCCTAGATACATCACATGTGAGTAAAGTTTGTTGGTTCTCTTCCTTGATTCCAGGGTTTTTTTATCCCAGTTCTGAAGTTTCCCTCCCTCAGCAAAACCTAAAATGCTGAATTCCAATGCAATCTGTGCCATACCCTGACTTAGATCAGCCCAGAGGTTGTTTCAGGGTTCAATCTGTGAGTTAGCCATACCCTGACTTAGATCAGCCCAGAGGTTGTTTCAG